AGTTTGACCAATAACATGCAGGCATTGTACATAATGGACCAATCATGGTGTGTGTGAGAAGGTGGGATCTACGGTCAAAGCGATGCAATTACGCGTACATATTAGGTGTGTTCGACTTAACAGTGTTCGACTTAGCAGTGCGGCTCAGACCGATCAGTGTTTGACATCAAAGTACCTCGAGAGCATTTGGAAAGCATAAGGAACCGTCTGTATGGTACTTTGATGCCATACACCGATCGGTCTGCACACGCAAACAAAGCCAAAACCTAGATATTTTAGGCAATATAGAAATCCTGGCCAGGACGCGTCCGGGGAAAATGGCACGTATGGTCACCCTAGTTATAGCACTTGTATATCATTGCTCTTTTGTTGATTTTGATTGCTTCTATTGTCCTCATTTGTAAGTCGCTTTGGATAAAAGCGTCTGCTAAATGACTAAATGTAAATGTAATGTAATGAATAGCATTAATGCACTCAATCAGTCAATCGTCCCCGTCAGCAGCAAGACTGAGAGAGATGGAGTTTAGCCTAGCCTAGCTGCCAGTGTGTATCTGTGAGCACATTGTTATTTCTCACCGGTGTTTTGTGTTGTGTATCTTGCAGCTTATATCCGCTCTAACCAGATCATGGGCTGGGGAGAGAAGGCCATAGAGATCCGCTCGGTGGAAACAGGCCACCTGGATGGAGTTTTCATGCACAAACGAGCACAACGGCTCAAGTTTCTGTGTGAGAGGAATGACAAGGTGCGTTTTTGGATCCTTTTTTAGTGTTTTTGCTGTGAAATCAGCTCATGGGCCATGCCTGTGATCCCACAAAAACCTGTCCTAAAGCAGTGCATGAAGAAAATGAAGAATATTTTTGAAATTTAAATGAGATTATTTTTGCTTTAAGAATGATGATGATGTATTATTTCCATGTTTAACAGTAATAAGAGTCTGATGGGAAACTCTTTGCAGCAATGAATGGTTTTGGTCAAAAATGCTTTGTTATAGTGCTGTCAAATCCGAATCAAAGTTTGTGTTTACATAATATATGTGACTGTGTATATTTATATGTATACTGTATATAAACACACACACATGTATATATTTAAGAAATATTTATGTGTGTGTGTATATATATATTCATATTTTTATATATGATTTATATGTAAATATAAATATCTATTACATTTATTTCTTGTGAGTGATCTGTGAGTAGTTAGCTGTGGTTTTAACAGGTCTGTGTTGGCTTGTTTCCCGCAGGTCTTCTTTGCGTCTGTGCGTTCTGGAGGCTCGAGTCAGGTGTACTTCATGACGCTGGGCCGCACCTCCCTGCTCAGCTGGTAAAGCAGGAGTCTGAGCTGCTGATGGAGTTTCTCGACGCGATCCGCTGAGGCCAGGCCACACGAACGGCCCGAGCCCGCTGGAGGACTGACAAACCGGCAAACACACTAACTGAGCCTGCTGCGTGAGGAACGGCTCGAGTATCTCCAGTATTATTGCTAGTCTGTGTAAATGTCTTTCTCTAGAGTTTAACACAATCTGACTCCGCTGAGAGGAGCGCTGACATCCTGCTGTCACAAATAGTGTTCTGACAATAGTGAAACACAAAATGGCTTTGTTATGTCATGTTGTTTTTTTATTTTTATTTATGGCTTGTATTTATTTCTAGCTTGTTTTTTTATTAGTACTTGTTTTTACTAAGCAGAGTAGTTCCAGTAATGTGGAGGATTGCTGAGAGCTTGAAACATGTCCTGATACTGTTCCCAATGTGCTCTGAACAGAGCGTCTTATGAAGTCAGTTAATGGTCATGTGACGTCACCCGGAAGTCTTATCCTCTTTCTCTTCTGTCATGTGTCCGATGAGTTCAACAAGCATCTCCGCTGGCCTTGAGACGTGTCTTGTCCTAAAGTTTTGAAGAGCATGTTTTTTAGAAACCATGAGTGAAAGCTTGTTCTGGCATTTCATGCATTGGAGCCGGAACACTGAAACTGAACTGTCCACTCAACATCCAGAGCAGAAACGCCGTTATAAACCTGACATTCGATTCGTTTTGGACGTTTTTCTGTGCTCTTGACAAGTGAATTGTTTTGGAGATGCGTGAATGCAGAGCATCACAAGATCCCTGTGAAGATCTCTGTCAGGGAAACACTACCTTCAGTCGGATGTGAAAGACTGTCTTGGTCATGGACTATGATTATTATGATTTGAAACTGAACTGTGTATATTTAATGAAAGGCAGGACTGAGGAATGAAGCGGCTGAACCAAATGAAAGGGATGAGCGCTCGCCACACAGCGCTTCTTCTGTTCTGTCTTCTCTTCCTGTTTTTATAGTTTCCACACACACACACACACACATACACGCACGCATGCACACACAGACGCATGCACACACACTCACACAAACACACACGCATGCACATACACACGCATACACACTCACACACGCGCGCATGCACACACAGACGCACACACACATACACACACACTCACACACACAGACACACACGCATGCACACACACACACACATGCACATACACACGCATACACACTCACACACGCGCGGATGCACACACAGACGCACACACACATACACACACACTCACACACACAGACACACACGCATGCACACACACACACACACACGCATGCACATACACACGCATACACACTCACACACGCGCGCACGCACACACAGACGCACACACATACACACACACTCTCACACACACACTCACACACAACCTAGATATTTTAGGCAATATAGAAATCCTGGCCAGGACGCGTCCGGGGAAAATGGCACGTATGGTCACCCTAGTTATAGCACTTGTATATCATTGCTCTTTTGTTGATTTTGATTGCTTCTATTGTCCTCATTTGTAAGTCGCTTTGGATAAAAGCGTCTGCTAAATGACTAAATGTAAATGTAATGTAATGAATAGCATTAATGCACTCAATCAGTCAATCGTCCCCGTCAGCAGCAAGACTGAGAGAGATGGAGTTTAGCCTAGCCTAGCTGCCAGTGTGTATCTGTGAGCACATTGTTATTTCTCACCGGTGTTTTGTGTTGTGTATCTTGCAGCTTATATCCGCTCTAACCAGATCATGGGCTGGGGAGAGAAGGCCATAGAGATCCGCTCGGTGGAAACAGGCCACCTGGATGGAGTTTTCATGCACAAACGAGCACAACGGCTCAAGTTTCTGTGTGAGAGGAATGACAAGGTGCGTTTTTGGATCCTTTTTTAGTGTTTTTGCTGTGAAATCAGCTCATGGGCCATGCCTGTGATCCCACAAAAACCTGTCCTAAAGCAGTGCATGAAGAAAATGAAGAATATTTTTGAAATTTAAATGAGATTATTTTTGCTTTAAGAATGATGATGATGTATTATTTCCATGTTTAACAGTAATAAGAGTCTGATGGGAAACTCTTTGCAGCAATGAATGGTTTTGGTCAAAAATGCTTTGTTATAGTGCTGTCAAATCCGAATCAAAGTTTGTGTTTACATAATATATGTGACTGTGTATATTTATATGTATACTGTATATAAACACACACACATGTATATATTTAAGAAATATTTATGTGTGTGTGTATATATATATTCATATTTTTATATATGATTTATATGTAAATATAAATATCTATTACATTTATTTCTTGTGAGTGATCTGTGAGTAGTTAGCTGTGGTTTTAACAGGTCTGTGTTGGCTTGTTTCCCGCAGGTCTTCTTTGCGTCTGTGCGTTCTGGAGGCTCGAGTCAGGTGTACTTCATGACGCTGGGCCGCACCTCCCTGCTCAGCTGGTAAAGCAGGAGTCTGAGCTGCTGATGGAGTTTCTCGACGCGATCCGCTGAGGCCAGGCCACACGAACGGCCCGAGCCCGCTGGAGGACTGACAAACCGGCAAACACACTAACTGAGCCTGCTGCGTGAGGAACGGCTCGAGTATCTCCAGTATTATTGCTAGTCTGTGTAAATGTCTTTCTCTAGAGTTTAACACAATCTGACTCCGCTGAGAGGAGCGCTGACATCCTGCTGTCACAAATAGTGTTCTGACAATAGTGAAACACAAAATGGCTTTGTTATGTCATGTTGTTTTTTTATTTTTATTTATGGCTTGTATTTATTTCTAGCTTGTTTTTTTATTAGTACTTGTTTTTACTAAGCAGAGTAGTTCCAGTAATGTGGAGGATTGCTGAGAGCTTGAAACATGTCCTGATACTGTTCCCAATGTGCTCTGAACAGAGCGTCTTATGAAGTCAGTTAATGGTCATGTGACGTCACCCGGAAGTCTTATCCTCTTTCTCTTCTGTCATGTGTCCGATGAGTTCAACAAGCATCTCCGCTGGCCTTGAGACGTGTCTTGTCCTAAAGTTTTGAAGAGCATGTTTTTTAGAAACCATGAGTGAAAGCTTGTTCTGGCATTTCATGCATTGGAGCCGGAACACTGAAACTGAACTGTCCACTCAACATCCAGAGCAGAAACGCCGTTATAAACCTGACATTCGATTCGTTTTGGACGTTTTTCTGTGCTCTTGACAAGTGAATTGTTTTGGAGATGCGTGAATGCAGAGCATCACAAGATCCCTGTGAAGATCTCTGTCAGGGAAACACTACCTTCAGTCGGATGTGAAAGACTGTCTTGGTCATGGACTATGATTATTATGATTTGAAACTGAACTGTGTATATTTAATGAAAGGCAGGACTGAGGAATGAAGCGGCTGAACCAAATGAAAGGGATGAGCGCTCGCCACACAGCGCTTCTTCTGTTCTGTCTTCTCTTCCTGTTTTTATAGTTTCCACACACACACACACACACATACACGCACGCATGCACACACAGACGCATGCACACACACTCACACAAACACACACGCATGCACATACACACGCATACACACTCACACACGCGCGCATGCACACACAGACGCACACACACATACACACACACTCACACACACAGACACACACGCATGCACACACACACACACACACGCATGCACATACACACGCATACACACTCACACACGCGCGCATGCACACACAGACGCACACACACATACACACACACTCACACACACAGACACACACGCATGCACACACACACACACACACGCATGCACATACACACGCATACACACTCACACACGCGCGCACGCACACACAGACGCACACACATACACACACACTCTCACACACACACTCACACACA